GTTTTAGGCTTTAGGGTTTTAGGCTTTAGGGTTTTAGGGTTTAGGGGTGTGTCGAATTGTGGGTTTGCTTGTGTATGTTGTTGGTAGGCTCTGGTTGATGTGCTCTGACTATACCAGAGTCCTAAGATTCTGGGAAATTCCGTTGGACCAAGACTTGTTGAAGGAACCCTGCTGCGAATACCGAAGCCAATGGATTTACTAGTGCTAGTTACTAGACAAAGCTCGCGCACCTGCGCAAAACCAGGAGCTTGAAAGAGACCGGTGCACTTTAAGAAGCGCCCCACCTCTTGATGTACTTCTGCAACTTCTGCGTCAGCTTGGCGTTGTTTGCCAACGCATCCTGCAGAGACTACCACAAGACGTAGATGCGTGGCAACAGAAAGCTGCAAGGCGCTCAAACCGGACCCTCGTCTTGGTACGATGCAAGGCAACAATTTGACGTCAAATTAGTTCTGGAGCGGGTTCGAGACAACTACTGACTGTGCAACGCAAAACCGATTCCTTCTTGTCATGGTAGCTGATGGAATAGATGCAGGAAAATAGCCTTCTGAAGGCCCCCTTTACGTGGGAACTACCCCAATCAAATCCTTGTCGTAGGTCTTCAGATTGTCCAGGAATTTGGTGTCATTCATCAGCCTTGCTTCAGCCAGCTGTGAAAGTCCAAAACCCTTCAACCCCTGCGCACTGGCGTCGTTCATGAACCCTAATTGCCCAGACCCAGACCCAAAAGTGTAAAACAGATGATACTCTATTCTAACTTCCCCTGTACATGAAGCTTACAACTCTCCACGTGGGCGTGCGAACCCGTATTTGTACGTACAAACTAGCATCCTGAAGTGCAACCGAGGAGGACCCCCAGGTGTACCAACAACATGCTTGCCGAGTCACTTCTTGGCTTCGTCCCAGCTCTCCTTTTGGCCTTGGGCGGTCACTGAAACGATCTCTGCAGCATGCGAGTTCTAAAGATGAAGGAGCCACCCAGATCCACCCGGCTTGACTATCTAGGTTGCATCTACTGCATGTCATGCTCGGCAGATACATCAATGGGTTAGGCTGTTGGTACACCATTCTTCCGGCGTTAAGAATCTTGAGTCTGCATCAGGTGCTCCGAACAAGGTTTTGCGACATCCAGTCTGCTTGCGGTGCCTCTGTGATCCTGTGTGATCCGAGATCCACACCAAACAGGAGACACACTGCACTGAGAACGACCTCCGCAGGGTTGTAAGGCATGAAGCTACAAACATAGGGTTGCTCTCAGAGACCTGACTTCGCGGTCTTGCGGAAATGTCAGCCGCAGGTTTGCAATGTAGTTTGGGAAGGCAAACAACCAGTATTTTCCTTAAGAATCCAATAATACTTCCCTCCAATAATACTTCCCCATATAATCCCGTATATAAACCCCTTTAAGGAGTTTTCACCCTAAAGTCTAAACCCCTATGTAACCCACTTTAAGCAGTTTAGACTAGAGCATGCATAGTTAGCCTCCACGAGAGGCGGCGGCTTCGCGAAGGATTTCACCTCCTGGATGTCCTGAATCAATAGCGATTTGGTGGTTTCCAAAGATAGGGGGACCCAATATAGAACCCACAATATTCTATTCCTTATACTGGTACTCCCAAGTTGGTGCCCTCAATTTTAGGAAACTCCCATTTCCATCAGCACGGTGAAGGTACTGATTGCAAGTACAGCATACATACTATTATTACGATATTATTACGATGATTACTAGAACTAGCAAAACTATTCTTGCAAGCATATCAGGGGTGAGTCCTTCTTGTCCAGGGAATCCAGCGACTTGATGGCAGCATAGTATTCAGGCAGTGCCTTCGGACGGGAAACAGGACCAAAATGAGAATTTGTAAGAACGAGAAGGCTGCTTGACAGAAATCCAGCCAGCCAGCGATCCGGTGAAATCTGCGTTTGATACGGATCTCTTCTATGTCCAACCTCCACCGCATCAAGATACAGAAGCTCTCATGATCGCAAACTCTGATACAATGGAAAAGATCAAGAAATACCGTGGCATCATAATAGATTATATTAGGGTCCTCTCATATTCCTATTATACCACTATTACAGGGTGGAGGGTCCTCCTAAGGTATCATAGTAATTTCCGATGGTTCCCAAAAAAAATATAGTCCCCCTTAAGTAAATAGAATATGGCTTTGGGTATCTTATAGTAAGATCTCCATATACCCCATATTCTATCTACTCAAGGGGGACTATAGCTCCAAAACATGCCTCTGCAGTGGTCCCTAAACCCCTAAAGCCTTCGTAGTAGTTTCCATTTTCTTTTCCATTGTCCCTATATGACCCTTATATTATGCCCTACAATCCCTATGTAACCCCTATATAATCCCTATAATTCCTATAGTTTTCATTTTCTTTTCCATGGTATAATTCAAGCTAATAGGGTTTTAGGCTTTCAGGTTGGCGCACCTCATCCAGATCTTTCTGGCAGTCAGCCTTGATACCGTTGGCCTGCAATCGCATGGAGGCTGTCTTCTATATCATTATATTACTTTGCTACTGCATTACTGTATTTCCATATTTCTAAACCTTACAGGAATCTCTGCTTGAGTGTTTGGGGTCGGCTGCTTTTGCCTTGCATATAGGAGGAAGACTCAAGCCTAGCCCGCTTGAACCCTTCCAGGCGACTTTGAAGTTTACGTTGATGAACGGCCCTTGTTTTCGGTCTCACTGGCAATCCTCGCGAACTCCCTCGTATCACTATCTGAGCTTTTTGGAAGTTCTGAAACTCTCCCATGTAAGAACTATAAGATACTAAGCAAGACCCCGCCACCCCCTTTAAGGCACATTATGTATAAACAGGTATGGGGTACCGGATGGTACCAGATTTTTGAGAAACTCCATTTGAAAGCTTCCCAGCATCGGATGCATCAATAGTTAAAAGAACGTCCTTGCGCAAGGTGCAAACCCCAAAGCCTTGTCATCCAAAGACTGCGAAGCCCACAAAAAAGTCATTCAAGAGTTGTATAGGGGTATGTCAGGGGGTCATATGGTTCTATAGGGGACAAACAGAGCATATGTTGGGGACGCGTAAGGTCTAGGGCTTCCAAAAATTTAGCGGCCCTTTCTGGCAGGCGCTATGATCGTGGTTGTATATTCCATGCCGGGTCTACAGGGGGGCCCCTGTTTGTGGAGACCCCTCTGATTCCAGCTTAGATGGAATCAGAGAAGGTACTTCTCAAAGTATCCACTCGTGTACACAACAACGGAGGTTTTCTATTAGGGATAGCCCCAAGAAACCCAGGCGCTTCAACCCTACGCAGACGCTACATTATCAGCGACAGGTTGGAGAATTCATGACAAACTCGTTGCATTCCTCCCATGTCAACCACACCCCGCATCTTCCGAAGAAATCTGTCATGCCCTTTATCCAAAGCTCTACAAGTAAGAAGCCCCCCCAATGTCTCACGCAGAGGCCCAAAAGGGCCCTACAAAGACCAAGGTCCTTGCAAAAGAAGATCTAAACAGATTTCCGTATTCGTTTGAGACGGTGACCAATACCCGATGGCTTAAACCCTAGATCCAACATGGCCTCTGTGGGCATTGAACCAAGCGGGACGACTTGCTTTTTCAAAATGCTGCCATCAAAAGGAGAATAGAATCTTACTCTAAGTTTGGGGTATTGGGGGCTACAATCCCTATCCAAAAACTATGTGAGAAGTTGCCCCTTTCTGCCCCCACATCATATAAGTCTCATGTTCGGAAGACCCAAAAGGGACCCGAATTTTTGAAACCCTTAGCCCCCCAAAACATAGATATCCTTACCTAAGCCTCCAGACACCCTAGATAATCCCTATAAATGCCAAACACTAGACCCTAAATCCTCAACTATGTTGCTGCATGTAACTCCAAGCCTCGGCCGCAGCTTCGGAAGCTGCTGCCTCATCGACGGCACAAGCCTTCAGAGCAGCGCAGGCTAGGGGTTTAGGGTCTTGTTTTACAGCATTGGATTTTAGGGTCTTAGGGCTTTGCGGTTGAGATTATCAGGTTTTTACAAGGTCAAGGGTTTAGGATCCAGAGTTCAGGGTTCAAAGCAAGAAACTCATGATGCGTGGCTCTTACGGGTCAGGACTAAGGAAGTACTGAAGTCTTGGGTCCAGCTTAACATTAGGATTCAAAATTTGGGGTGTAGCCGATCATGGAAGGGCCCATGGCCTTTGTTTTTCGAGCCGGATTCAGTTCTCAGTTGAGGGTGCTTATTTAGGGCCATGACAGCCTGCCACCCTGTTGCCCATCACAAAACATCAGCTCAGTCTCATCATCGAAGCCCTAAACCCTAACCCCTTAATCCCTTCACTAGCAGCTGAAGTACTATCTGGCAGGTGCAAGGCCGCAACATTGTACAGTCCCTTAAACAAACATTCAAATCAAAAAACTATATAGCACTTTCATGTAATTTTCCATTATCCCAATATAACCTCAATGTAACCCTAATGTTGCCTAGTTCGGACCCAAAGCCCAAGGAACTCGCCTAGAATTACCCAATGGGTAGTTTCTATTCAATTGTCCATTTCATTTTCCATGTGATTCTCCATTACTGTATCCCTATATAACCCCTAGTACCCTTTTAGCCCATTCCAGCAGAAAAGCATCTTCTCCTGACCCGATTCCTCTTGTCCGTGCGAAAACCCCCTAATTGGATCCTTGCTACTGGGGACTTGTGTGATGGCACATCATGTTCGCAAAGGTACCTCAAATCATACTCAAAAGTCCCAGTTTGCGCACCATGAAACCATAGAATGGCGCGTGCCATTCCACGAAATACTCTAAAACCTCCCGTTCTCCGGCTGGGCGCCAGGCAGGACCCCTGATTTCAAAACCTAAATCCCTGAACCTCTCGTCCCCAAACCGCATATCCCCGCGAAATGCAAAACCCTTTTCAAACTATGGGCTCCCCGCCTCACTTTTCTCCTTCGCGATTGCCTGGTCTGCTTGCACCTCGACGGCTTGAGGGCTCTTGGGGCTTGACGCTTTAGGAGTTAAGGGTTTGGGGTTTGGGGGGTTTAGAGTTTGGAGAGTTCAGGGTTAAATGGTACACATCTCAGGTTCACAAGAATCAAACTCTGCGAACATGCCAGGCACGGTGAAGTGCAGAAGAACGAGTGAAAGAACCGGCTGCCATGTTGCCTATGCGAAGCCCTCGATACACCCACATAAATTCTAATCTTGGCGGTTCCACGATAATTTTGTAAGGCTTCCCAGGGAGCCCGCATGTACACATACACAGACATGAGCAGACGCCTTCACCATCAGTTCTGCAGTGTCTTTCTTTGCCTGTTCGATCCTGGGCACAAAATGCTGCAGACACTCTGAGCGGGAAAGTTTAGTCGCAGTCCAAAACTGATAGGGGGCCCTATACTGAGGACTGTATTTTCATGCAAGTACCAACCTAGTCAGTGGCCACATATCCACAGGCAAATGTGCAGGCCAGATGAACCCCTTAATAAGCCCTATAATACCCCCTTATTTCTCCCCTATGTATAGTCCCCCCTTCAAGGAGTTTTAGACTATGGCTCAGATCAGCTAAGCTGCGTTGGCTGCATCTTGGCCAAGGAAGCCTGGCAGGCGGGCGTTAAAAGGGAATAAGGGAATTAGAGGTATAGGGTTTAGGGGTTAGGGTAGTATAGGGTTGTATAGGGATAATGGAAAAGAAAATGGAAACTACTTTTTAGGGTTTGGGGTAAGATAAGCTGCAACGACTTGCTTTTGGTTAGCTAGGAATGAAGGAATGGATCCTTATAGCAATCCCTAGAAGACCCTTTGTAGTAGTTGGAGCGCGGCGGATT